AATTATACCTCCCCAAACATTTACACTCCATCTTTCTTGGCTATGTGTTCTGATGATGTTAGGATTTTCCGTGGAATAATAGTGGAAATTATGTCTATTAACGAATCCGTTCTTGTGGAATGTAGATTCATCAGAAAACAGCAAAAAAAATGGATTTTGTTGCAGTTTAGTTTGTGCCCAGTTACAAAACACCATTCTATTATCAAAATCGGTGTCTTTCAGCTCTTGATGCAATTGTATTTTATAAGGATGATATTGATGCTGTTTTAAAATCCTTCTAACGGATGTTCTACTTATACCTACTACTTCGGCAATCTTTTTTTGACTTACATAAGGATCTTCTATCGCTGTCAAAATTACAGATAATTGGTTATCATTATCAGTAGCACGTTTGTCAATTATTGGTTTTTTATAAACAACATTTCCTGTTTCGGTAAATCTTTCATGTAACTTTTCAAAACTTTTTTGATCAGGGATGCGTCTATCGGGATATCGTTGATAAATTCTTTTTGCCAATAAACAATTTCTGTCGGATTCTCCCAAAACATAGACCATGTCAATTAATTCGTTTTTCGTAAAATTCATTATTAATAGAAGAATTATCGCGATCAGTAAAAATAACTTGACACTTCATTAATAAATAATCTGACACTTCATTAAGACCCAGCCTACTTGATTGAATGTTCACTTTCAATAAAACCACTGGTAGAAATTGGATTTTTAATAGATCAATGTCTTTTTGGAATTTACTTTTAAACGACGACAGATAGGTATAGGAAAGTACATGGGGAAGTCGAAGGGTATAAAATTCTCGTTTCATCGATGAATAGTAATACAGGGTGTTCTATTTGAAAAATTTGAAAAAAATGTCCTAGAAATTTTTGGAAATTGAAATTAATTTGTGACCACCCTGTACAAAATAAAAAATTAAAACTTGGTCTAAAAAAATTTTTGGTCTATTGGCTTTATACATTTGTAGTTTTTTAAATTCTAACGTCAAATTCGAGAGAGCACTGCATATTTTAATAGGCGTCTGAAAATGTAATATTTTAGGGGGTAGGATGTTAGAAACAATATTTTGTGGGTATGCACTAGTGACCATAGAGTACCTAAAATAGGAAAAAAAGTCGGGTCATTCCATTAAAAAAAAAATAAGTGATTTGTCTAATTTACTATTGGGCCACCCTGTACACAAGAAAATAATTTTGGGATATTTGGTTTTGACCACCATTGACAGGTATACTTCGAATAAATCGTTAAGATTTGCATAATAGGAGTTATAGAACTACGACAGAGGTTTGGTTAACCCTGTATACATGTTTATTTAAAATACACAAAACCCAAACATTGATTCTTAAACAAACAAACAAACAAACAAACAAACAAACAAACAAACAAACAAACAAACAAACAAACAAACAAACAAACAAACAAACAAACAAACAAACAAACAAACAAACAAACAAACAAACAAACAAACAAACAAACAAACAAACAAACAAACAAACAAACAAACAAACAAACAAACAAACAAACAAACAAACAAACAAACAAACAAACAAACAAACAAACAAACAAACAAACAAACAAACAAACAAACAAACAAACAAACAAACAAACAAACAAACAAACAAACAAACAAACAAACAAACAAACAAACAAACAAACAAACAAACAAACAAACAAACAAACAAACAAACAAACAAACAAACAAACAAACAAACAAACAAACAAACAAACAAACAAACAAACAAACAAACAAACAAACAAACAAACAAACAAACAAACAAACAAACAAACAAACAAACAAACAAACAAACAAACAAACAAACAAACAAACAAACAAACAAACAAACAAACAAACAAACAAACAAACAAACAAACAAACAAACAAACAAACAAACAAACAAACAAACAAACAAACAAACAAACAAACAAACAAACAAACAAACAAACAAACAAACAAACAAACAAACAAACAAACAAACAAACAAACAAACAAACAAACAAACAAACAAACAAACAAACAAACAAACAAACAAACAAACAAACAAACAAACAAACAAACAAACAAACAAACAAACAAACAAACAAACAAACAAACAAACAAACAAACAAACAAACAAACAAACAAACAAACAAACAAACAAACAAACAAACAAACAAACAAACAAACAAACAAACAAACAAACAAACAAACAAACAAACAAACAAACAAACAAACAAACAAACAAACAAACAAACAAACAAACAAACAAACAAACAAACAAACAAACAAACAAACAAACAAACAAACAAACAAACAAACAAACAAACAAACAAACAAACAAACAAACAAACAAACAAACAAACAAACAAACAAACAAACAAACAAACAAACAAACAAACAAACAAACAAACAAACAAACAAACAAACAAACAAACAAACAAACAAACAAACAAACAAACAAACAAACAAACAAACAAACAAACAAACAAACAAACAAACAAACAAACAAACAAACAAACAAACAAACAAACAAACAAACAAACAAACAAACAAACAAACAAACAAACAAACAAACAAACAAACAAACAAACAAACAAACAAACAAACAAACAAACAAATAATTTTTAAACATTATTTAATAAAATATAAAGGCTAATCACTTCATTTCCACAAATTCCTTTAAAAGTACTAATCTGAAACAAATAGTTTTTTTTAATAAATACCCCAAGTAAAGAACCATTTACGATTATTACAATCTGATCATTAAGATCAATTAGCAATTTTATTCTAATCTAACTTATCAAGGGATGAAAAACTTCATAAACTAATATTCTACTCACTAGTATACCTTAGAGCAGCCATACGCAACCTGCGGCCCGCGGGCCGCATGCGGCCCTCCAAGCTATTTTGTGCGGCCCTCCAAGTTGTTTTTGTGCGACACTCCAAGCTTTTTTGTGCAGCACCAAACACTATTATTAGGAATGATCTACAGTCTTTTTTTTGAAATAAATTGTCCCAAAGCTTATTAAAACAACACGAGGACCTATTTTTGGCCCGTGTAGCATAACAAATAGATTTATGTGGCCCGAATGAACAAAAGGTTGAGTACAGCTGCCTTAGAGTCTAATTATTTAGTTACACTACCGTTAACGTATAACACTTAACCGCACTATACTCTGCTTTAACGTACTGAACTAACTCAAAAGACTTGGTTCTCTTGAGTCTTCTTATTAGATTGGCATTGTTGAGGAGCTGGATAATCTCAAGGTTTCCATGTTGGAGCAGTCGTTGTTGGTGACTACTGGCAAATTTTTGTATTGTACTTTCAACAGTCTCCACTATAAGGTCCCTATGAAGATCTGTATTGCGGCAGTACTAGGGTGCATCGACCATGTTCCTTAATATTTTATTCTGCAAACGTTGAATAACTTCGATGTTACTTTTATTAGCATAGCCCCAAAGCTGGCGAATCGCTTAATTGTCACAAATTCCTTTAAATGCACTAATCTGAAACAAATTATACGTAATTAAAAAGGTCTATTAGGTAATATTGTTTTAAATTAACTATAATAAAACAAACAATACTCATGCTTACACAAGACATGAAGCTTCACTTTTGAATCAGCTGTAGAACTATTAAGTGAAACTGGTGGAGGGACAGCAAATGTAGGTCATATTTAAATAGAAATAAGAATATAAAATGCCTATAAATTTGATAAACGAAATGGCGTCACTCGTCTCAGAGAAGAGATAAATTTAATAAGCCTAACCTAAACAAGCCTCAATTTCTAAAGACATATTCTGCCTATTCTGCTTCCCATATAACAACAGCAAGCACAACGCATTTAATAACAAAAACCGACAACTCAAATCTATAATTATTTAGAATATAGGGTTGTCTCTGGCTGAACATAGGATGAAATTCTTCATTAATTTTGGCCTTTTACGGCATAACCCGTTTAGTAACCTTTTGTGTAACATGTATACCATGTTTCAGAAACATTTTCAGTGAAATATTGAACTAAAATATTTCAGAAACTTGTGTTTGAAACGTTTAAAATATTTCTGAAACACTTCTGAAATATTGTGTGCTGTATGACGCCAATCATAGATTGTATTAGAATAAATTTTAAGATCCTTCATTCGTTTACTAATAAGTTTTCGAGTACGGGTCGCCGTAAACGTGAAATAACAAAGATCCGAAAAATGAAATGCAATTTTGGAAATATAAAAATATGAAAATATATAATCCCAATTTCCCCTACGAAATTATGAAAAATACATCCCATCGGCCGATGCACTCGTTTTTTCTTTTCTTTATTTCTCAGCTTTTTAATTTTTTCTTTGGTTTGTTTTCACTTTGGGGATGTGAGGGTGTATTTTTCATAATTTGGTATAGGGGGAATAGGGTATTATATATTTTCATAGTTTCAAAATTGCATTTCAGTTTTTAGATCTCAACCGATTTTCTCACTTTACTTTGTTATATTTTATTGCCCAATTATCATTCCTTATTCTCTATTTTCAGAAAAAAAAATTGTTCGGCCACCCTGTAACATCACTAAATAAAAATATTCTAGTGTTGATAGTAATGATCGACAACCTAATGTTTAATTGCCATGCAAAAGCCTGTATAGGTAGGTACCTTTGCATAAATATGTTTAAAGTATGAAGTATATACCTTATTTTCAATTCTATACATACAATAATTTTTGTTCGTACCTATATTGTATCGTTTGCCTGTTAATAACACACTTCAAAATATTGATCAAGAAAATACTCACTAAATGTGAGTTTTATTAAACAGGCGAACAAATAAACTGGGTAATATAAAGTAATATTAAAAATATACGGAAATAAAAATTTGTAAAAGTTTTTAAAGGACCCTGTATACATATCTACCGGTGTGGTATGTTTAAACGCAACGAACCTTGCAAGTCCGTCTCTGGCGCCTCCGTGGCGCCACTTATCCCTACCAGAAGTCTAGACCGGTCTCACTCTGCCGGTCGGCCAACGATACAAGCTCGACGTCGTGCCCACCGAGCAAGCCAACAAGCCAGGCCAGTCAAGAAGAAGACGTCAAACGAGAACCAACGGAGAGATAGAGTCGGTATTATTATTTTCGGTTCACGATTCAAAATAAAAAATCACCGGTATTCGGTGATAGTGGAGTGTCAGTGAGGTGTAAGCTTAGCCGGTAAAAGTGTGTGCGATACGACCTACAGTGGCCCCCAAATGCTTGCCTTGCGTGGAATCGAGAACCTCTTTAATGTTCATGTTCCGAAGCAGGAAGACAAACCTCACTAAGCGCCTGGTGAAGGCCAGAAAAAGACGAGGCAATGAAGCCAGGCGTCCGACAGAGGAAGAGGCGGAAATGAGCGTGATTAACCTCCTGAAAAAGCTGCACGAAAGGCAGTTAGAGATGCTGTTTAGAGCGGTGGACACCCGAGGTCAGGATCCGAGCAATTGCGTCCTGTTGCCGCGGACGCATAACGAGGAACCGCACGTGTTGTTCTGTCAAACCTGGCGATGGCCAGATTTGAGAAAGGGCAGTGAACTGAGAAGGCTGCCGATGTGTAAGTCGCCACGTGATCTTGTCTATGATTGCTGTAATCCTTACCACTGGAGCAGACTATTACAGCCTGGTAAGCTTACTATTTTCATATTTACAAGCAAATAAACAATTATTTGTTTCCTGAATAAACTAAACAACGCTCCAATTGAATATATAGGTACAAATATACTTAGCTAAACATGAAATGAAACAAACCGAATTAGATGACCTTTTTATGTTATTTGTTGGTACCTAAATTGTAGATGATCAAATGTAATTTAAATAAACATGTAGGTAGGTAAGTATATAAATGATTACTTATTCTTTATTTTCTGATTAAGTTTTTCTTTCTATAATTATAACTATAGAAACATGGACAAATTTAACTTTAGCAGTCTGCAAAACCATACTCTATATTTTAATACTGTTTGTAAACTAAAAAGAATTCTGTTAATAATATCTTCAATAATAATAATAATTGTAGATGAGTAAATGTAACTAAATCTCGAATTTAAACTGAACTAGGTACCTAGCAAAAAGTAACATCTTGCAGTTAATTAAAGTTATGTACTTAATTCAACATTGAAGCCAATCAATGCATGATTTCTTTTCTTCCAAAAATGGCATAATCGAGTTGCTTAAATCTTTGAACAGTAAGTACCTACGTCAATAAGGTACCTAGGTACCTATTACTACCACATTTCGGCCAAAACTTTATACACAAACATACCTATGAAATGTAGGTAGTTTTAATGTTTTGGCTAATGATTTATTTGTTCAGCAACAATAATCTATATATAGATGTGTGTGTATTTATACAATAAACTTCGTTTTCACTTGAAACTAGGTAGGTAGGTATTCATAATAAATAAAAACAATTATTTATTCTGGAACTATTGCTTCCCGAGTTGCTTCCCTATTTGGAGGACTTTATTTGAATGTGATTTTAAAAAGTAGGTAGGTAACTCGGTAGGTAAGTACCTATATTTTTAATAAAAAGTTTAGGGAGTTTACCGATTGATTATCTACTACTTAGATAGGGTTTATTTTTTCTTTACAGGTATCTACTTGCTTTAATTGAAAATCGCATTGGTAGGTAGATAAATCAAATCCGAAAATGTCCTGGTTAAAAAAAACTTACGCACGTTCGTTAAACCTTGACCAATCCAAAATTATATTATTTCCTATTCTTAGGATTCTAGTTTACTTTGGGTATATAAATAAAGTAGGTACTAATATTACATATTCTACGTTCATTTGTATTTCAACGCCTTAACTGTAATTTATTTCCCTAATTTATTAGGTAAGTATTGAAACTAAAATGTCTAACCCTACATTGTTAATGGCAAAAGCCATTTCAATGTGCAGTTTCTCAAAGCTTTTAATTTTTCCAAAATTAAACTGAGTTTGAAATTTCCGGAAATTCAGTATAAACGAAGTAGCGTTGAAGTTGATTCAAAATCGGCGAGGAATAAGAAATTTATTTTATTCATCGATCCTGATGTATGTATATGAATAACGACGAACAACTAGGTAGGTATTCGAAATTCTATAACCTTACCAAGGCCTCTCCTCTTAACATGTTTTTGTTTATTCGCACAAAACTTTAGATATATGTTACTTATATAATATTTAAATTCGAAATATAATCATTTTATAATGTCGATTTATGTTAATTTTGAATTTCATGACTATATTAACTAGGTATACCTACCTAAATTCATTTTAGTCCTTTTAAGAAAAATTGCAAATACTGGTAAGATATTTCGATAAGATATGAGTGCCTACGATAATAAAATCGTCAGCATTCTGAAGAGAAGACCACTCTTAAAGCCTTAACTTAAATATATGTATATTAATCGATTGATAACAATTCTGTAGATAATTGTAAATATGTCAACATATCGCAACGTATTATTTACATCGTATCTCATTTCATGAGAAAATATTTCATTAAGATTGTCAAAGAAGAATATTATTAATTAAAAAGATGTAAAAGTACCTACTTATATCCAAACTTCAGTTACCTCATTTAGATGAATAATCTGGTGACATTCCAGACGACTCCAATCTAATTAAAATTAGGTAGAAGAAAACAATTCAGAGCTATATCTACCACTATATTATCTACTTGATATTAGTGCTTACAGAGATGGACTGGCTGAACAATATAGATTTCTAAAGATAAAAAATATTTTCCATAAATCTATTGTTGAAAACAGATTGTAAACATTAATCGGTCAATACAAGTAAATAAAACTTTTTACACTGTATTATAAAAACTTTACTTATTTATTCATAATTGTTTCAAATTCAAATTGTTATTGACCAATCATTAGAATATTTTTTTAAATTGTTCATCCATGTCTTATGTGCTTATATTTCGTTATAGGTACAAGAATTTTAATCATTTTAAACTAATGACTTTTTTAATAATCATTTTCCATCTAAGGCTATTTCATTTTATTTTATCCAATTAGTTTTTTGATAAAATGCTTTATAAGGAAAACCAATTTTATATTGTTTGTAAGTATAGGTAGATACTCGGGTAGGTATTATATTTATAGAATAATAAGTATTACAATAAAATGTTCCAATGCGGTTTAGCCTCGGATTTATAGAGGTATCTACTACAACATTTAAATGATATTTCTCATTTTGTTAACTTCCATGTAAAGAAAAGAAAGTGACATGACACCTATGGCATTTTTAATATTAAACTAAAATTTAAAAACACAAAAAGCCACTCCTTGATTAAATTTCTATTTTGTTTTAAATAACTGAAGTAAGTAAATCTTATACTTTATTTACCTGCCATTGTATATATAACTAACGAGGTAACTAATAAACAATAGGTATTATATTATTCATCATATTTCTTAATGACCATCTATATTCAAATAATTCATTCCTCAAGTACTCATTTTTTTCATATAAAACCGAAATATTATACAATAAAATGTGTTTTATCTTTTAGTCTATAGAGCAACATATTTTTTCATCCTTTTTGATCAAAATTCTACAAGTGGGCAGGTCTTAAAGCCTCAAGCTTCTACCCACAATCTACAAGAATGTAGGTAATAGTTCATAATAATAGCAAAACATACAGGGTTATTATTTAGCCCGTTTTAAATTTATTTCTTAATACTGATAACTGATGATACTAACAATTATGTTGATTGTTTTGTTTAGTAATATAGCCAATACCCAATTAATATAACTATTACAAGCGAAAGCGTACTAAAACGATAATACTGAAACATAACAACTATAAATATAGGTACAATCTTATGAAAAAATACAGTTTTAGAGAAACTATTGTAAAAATCTGATGACTTTCCTATCTAGTTATTACAGGCTTTTTTCGGTCATTTTGTATAACCTATTGTAGCACCTCTGTAAATGTTTAGAGGTTAACTTAAAACGAGACTTAATATATACTTTTTCCACATTCGAAACATTTTTCTATATTCATTCATTGCCAAGGAAAATACTGAACAATTTAAATTTTATACTTTTCCTCCAATTTTTCCATTACGGTCCATTTTAGAGAAATCATGTAAAAAACAAAAAATATAGAGAATAATATTAGAGGTAACTTTTATTTAAATAATTTTCTTCTCCAAACGTAAATAACAGATGTATTTCATAAAATTTAAAAATGACCCCCCATAAAGTAACCCCCACATGTTCCGGCTCTGTCCAAAATCTAATCATTTCACCGCAGGCCGGAATAAAGCTTAAGTTTAAATTTTGGTGTTTTTTTGTATCCGTTTATGAGTTATCGTGGATACAGACACACACACGCACACAAACACACACACACGCGCGCACACACACACACACACACACGCACAGACACATACACATACACATACACACACACACACACACACACACACACACACATCATCGCGAAAATAGTCAAAATGGATTCAGGGAACCCTAAAACGTAAAAATCCGTCGAAAACTCGAGGTCGAAAAAAAATCATGATTCCTATACTTTTCTTATCTGTATACAGATAGGAAAGTAAAAATAAACAATACCCGAGAAATACCCTTTTAGTGCATAGAGTATAGACACAATACCTAATGTCACTGTTCAGATAAAGATTTAAACTCGGATAATATTTAAAATATAGCTATGTATAAAGTTATCTTTGTTTCGTTTTATTGGAGACTAGGGTTTATGCAATTGCCTCGGCAATTGCAGAATAAATTTTGTTAACTTAAAAAGAATACGTACACCTAAGTATTACTTACGGATTGATTTTCAATGCTGGTTGAATTTGTAGAAGAATACATGAATTCAATAGATATTAATATTATTTACCGTATTATTAAATATGTAACTATTAAAATAATGTATTGGCTTATTTGACTTAAAAAGGCGAGAATCTTCGAAAAAAACGAGTGGCAACGTAGTACTTACGTTAGAGGTTAGAGAATACATTAAAGAAATATGTACTGCCGTTTTATAAATAGGAAATGTATTTTTGGCGACAAAACAAATTCAAATCATATACCGCCGTTGACGGCTGTTATTTCAAATTATTTCTACTATGTCATAGCTAAAAAATGAGAATATTTAATACATTTTTATTTTATTCGAAAATTTTTGCATGTGAATGGTTTCTCGGGTTTATCTGCATTCTTCAAATTGTTTTTTCATTCCCGAAGTTGCAGCATTCAGTAGCTAGATTTAATAAAAACAAGAATGGTGATCATTACATTTATGTCATTATAATTTCATTAGTTATAAAAAAATATGAAAAATTAATATACGACAAGTAAGTAAAAGGAAAAATATGTAGAAGGGGTTTTGAAGCTTGAAAATGTATTCGAAATCAACTGTGGCATTAACTGTGCAAATGAATTCAACAATTAATACCAAGTTCATCACGATCCATCAAAGAGAATGTACAGTGATCCTCTTTTCATTTTCTATAATACCAACCACTTATAAAATTAACATTACGCATGTTTCTAAACTTAGTGTACAACCAGATTTGCAATGTTTTTTTTTAATGGTTAATTAAAATACTCTGCATTAGTAATGTTTTTTGATCTGAAGCATGAGTAAACAAATAA